GACCTACAAATAGCTGAATAAGCTTGGTCATGTGGATAGCCACAGCATGCACAGCACAAGGTCCTCAGGAGAACAGAAAGGAAAAGCTCATTTTTTAATAAAAATAATAGTTGCCAAAGCAACAAGACCTGTAGGCAAAACAAGGAAAGTGAAAGTCAGAGGGAAGGAAAGTGATGAGCTCAGCTCCTACCCAAATGATAAATAACATTTGTTGGGGGGGATGGGGTGCTGTAATACTGAACCTGAGCCCAAGAACAGGTACTTTAGCTCTGCAATGATTTGTTTTTAATAATTTTTCTTTTTTAGCATTTTTTTTGGTGATACTGGGAGGGTCCACCTATGAAGAAACTACAAACACACTTGATAAGACCCACAGATGCAGAAGAGCTCTGTGACATGAGGATGAGGTGGAGGTGTCCTGGCGCTATCTTGTCCATCCGCACAAGGTGTTTGGTTTGTCATTGCTGTTAGATCAAGTCTTTTTTTGTTCTAGGCAACATTGACTCAGTTTGTCAGTTATTAAAACAGCACCTTCTATTCCTGGGACTGTAATGGTCACCCATTAGCCTTCCCACTGCAACAGTATGGCAAGCAAATGGGAATTGGAGGCACAGGCCTACTAAGGTTGGCATGGTTTTATGAGTTCAGTGTGGCACAAGGTGTGTTTTTTTTGCCAAACAAAGGCTTTGTCTCAAATGGTATGTGTTTGGATACTGTTTCTTTTTAGAAGGTACCCCTCACATTGTTTTTCATCACCACTTCCTAAGAGGTCTAGATAAGGGGACTCCCCTCATGGGCTAGTGGTGAGAATGTTTTTGCATACCTCCGTATGCAAAAAACACAAATTGTTATGATTTTTTTTTCTCTCTCATATACAGTAACACTGTTACTCGCCAGGTTTGCCATTAATGCACTGTGAACTCACCAAAACCATTAGTTTCATTACAATATCATATCAGTAGCACAAATATATTCAGTATTTTAAATAAACAAATGTTTAACATACTAAACCAGCAAAATTAAATATATCAAACACAACATGTATTACTTCACAAAATACGATTTTTATTCCAAAATAGCTCTGAATCCTTAGTAACATTTTCCATTTGAAAATAATTCACTTTCTTCTCCCCAACCCACAAGAAGCCTCCTTGCCTGCAAAAAACCTTGTACGGATAGAGGTGCTTGAATAGACAGGTGTGTAGAAGCAACAGAACATATTTGGCACTAGTCCAGTTATAGAAGGTGATATTACACCCTTGGAGCAGGTATTTAAAACTAATTTATTCACTAATGGACAGACTGAGCAAAGGAAACGTTTTAAAATTGTCATTCAAACTGTTACTACAGTGCCATGTTTCTTGCAAGGTGCAAAGTTCTAACCTCTGTGCTTATGATAAGATTTAGACATGCTATATTATACATTTGAAATATCCTATCCTCATTAAAAAGAGCACTTATTCCTAGAATTGTGTATGTCATATTTCTTTTCAATATAAACTACTAGTAAGAATGTAGATATGAAATTTACATAATAAGAATGGCCATCTTGCAATCTGAAAAGTAAAAAAAATTGCACTAAACTTTTGAGTTATTTAATACTGTTCTATGCTCTCCAGGAAAACAAAACAACTAAAATTCTCTTAATAAGAAAGTGAAAATTCTCTCATACCTGACAAACTGCATTATACAGCACCGAGTTGCTCTACTAGAAGAGAACCTAAAAGATAGAAAGGTGTCTGCTGTGCATGTGGAGTCCTCTGTCCCTCCCACTCCCTTTCAATCAGCAGCCGCAGAAAAAACCCCAATTTCCCCTTTGGCACCCCTAAGCCCTACCTTCTATGATGGTTGCACTCTTAGCCTGGGTAGAAGTTTGGATCAATTTCACACTTTGCATTCCAAGTGATGACACCATCAGGGTTTTCTTGTTTGTTAATTTTAACACTTATCTAAAAAAAACACAATCCTCTCTATAAAAGAAAGCAAATTCAAATACCAGCTTGAATATTTATTATAAGGCTTGCTGGGTATTTCTTAAGTGTGTTTTGTTTTGTGGTGCTGTCAACTGTTTTCTCTTATCCAAAAGCAGAACAACATTCTTTGAACATTACTGTATGGGTAAACAGAATTCCTGTGTGTGATGATTGCTAACACAGTGCAAAGAAAGGGCTGTATTGATGTGAACCAATCAACACACAATAACCTCTTTGGCTGGAATGTAATATCTCATGCAGTTTGAAGAGGAATGAATCCTTGCTTGTCCACAAAAGGAAAATTAAACTGTATGAAATGCATAGCATCAGATATAAATTCTTAGTCACTGTAAAACTTTTCAGCCCATTGAAAGAGTCTCCTTGTATTATGCTGTTTTTTTTTCTGTCATTTTTGATTACACTGCGAAATGGTCTGACATAAAGGAATAGATTTATTTCCTCCTGGTAATTGGTTTAGTTTGACAGAATTTCTGATTAATTGTTTGTCTAATACGCACACACCCTGGCTTCACCTCTGTGACAGAACCTCTTTTAGAGGAAAATGTATGCATGCATAATCAATTAAACCATTTTTAAAAAAGCATATGCAGTTTCAGTTTCAAACGTAGAAGAAGCAGCACTGAGGAAGTTGTATGAGAGCAGTGACCAGATACAATGCTGGAAATAAAGTTTAAATGGATCAGAGAAGAAAATATAGAGTGTCAAATATTGTTTGGCAGATTCTTACAGATCTAAAGTTAACACTTTTATGTATAAAGCCTCATGCTGAGTTTATAACTAAGATATCCATAGATTGTCCTCCATTTGCAGAAATAAGCAAGTTTGTTATATAAGAACCTGGTAAGTGATTAGAGATACAGTGCTGATGAAAGTAATTATGTTACATATTCCTTTAGAAAGGACCTACTGTATTATAAGACTGCATCTCTTAAATAAATGCAGGCCCTCTTGTCCCCCCGACCCTATCATCACCTTTTGTGGCATTATGTGAGGGCATGTCTGGTGTGGAGGTGGAGCCCTGGTAGAAGGGCGGAGCCTCGCCTTTGTAGTCCAGCTGTTTGGGCTTCGAGCTGATGAGCCCCAGCTGGGCAGGTCCTATAACGACACAGTGGAGACCACCGGAAGGGGAGGGTTATATTCACCAGCAGTCCCGAAATGGATTGTACCCACTTAAGGCCGTTGATATTTTTCTTTTCATTTTCTTTTTCTTGCTGGTTCCGTCACGTATTTTCACCGTGTGACACCTTTATCACACATTGAGATTTTGTTCTGTTTTGGCCTTGCACACCCTGCTCACCAGAGCGGACCCTACTTAACAGGGTCAGTCCATCTGGTCCCCGCTGTACGAGTGGTTCTTCTTTTTCCCAGGCTGGAGCCCGTTAGGTAGGGTAAGCCCAGCCTGGATGTCGCGATGCACAGTAGTACACATTTCTTTTTGCTTTTTGTTAGTTTGTTTCACCCTCTTTGTGTTATTTTTGGTTCCTGCTAACTTCACACCAGTCAGTTAGGGACGTTGACTCTATACAGGTGCTAGTCGCAGCAACGCCCACTTCCACAGTGTTACACCTTACAGCAGCTCCCTAGCTCTTTTCTAGAGAAGAGGGGTTCCATTAGACTTGTGGTTAGGTTTCTGTTTCCTCAACAAGCAAAGTGAAGACAATAAAAGTACCAAGCTGAATCACACATCCGTTTCCCTTAGATGAGGGTTTGTGCTGAATTACTGCAACTTTGAAAAGTGCAAAGTCTTCCACGTCGGTAGAAGAAGCACAAACTTTATACATCTATCTACTGTATCTATCTTCATCTGGTCATCTATCCATCCACCCATCCATCAATTTAATCACCACTTTATCCATTACAGGGTCATGTGGAAGCCGGAGACTATCCTGGCAAGCAATGGGTGCAGGCCAGGATACACCTTTGAAGGGACAGTTCATTGAAGGGCAGACAGATACAAACACAGACATGCACAGGCATTCTTTACTGTTTGTTTAAAAATTAATAAAATTAATAAAAATTTGTTCATCGGTAAAAAAAAAAGTCATCAGTTATATTACGACTGAATTTTGAAATGGTACTAATAATTTCTAATGTCACCATCGCACAATGTTCAATCTTTGAAAATTAAACGTGGCCTCACAGTGCCATGTAAACCTGATCTTTGTGGGTGTGTATAGTGGTAAACTGGTAGACTGGATAGGAAATTAATGGGCTGTGTTTGCCAGAGGAATAGGATCTTCCAGTCAAAGTTGGAATTCACCTTATCAGACTTGATGTCCTAACTGAATTCTCCATGTTGTATGACTGTTTGTACTGCAATAATCCCAGTTCTACATAGGGTTTATGGAGTCAACCTGAGTGATGACGTCACCCAGCAATGTGACCATGACACTGGCCAAGGACAAGGGGAGGACCCTTGCTTTCACAGTTTTATTCTCTGTATAGCTAGTGCAGGGCTATTGAAGGTCATTCAGGGCTCGATGGAATGGAAACTAGCTGCACAGGTAACAGATGACCTGTTTACCAGACGCAAAACCTGCTTGGTTTAAAAAAATACGTCATTGATCTGCAGAGTCTGTAGTTTTTTTTTACAATAATTTTAAAAACTGTTGGTGTTCTTTGACACCTGAACTTGTGGCCCATTTAAATAAATCAGGCTGTCAAATAAGCCTGTCTGCTCAGGAACACTTATTCAACAGCACACACTGCTCTTTGACTTTAGCTAAAGTTGTGTTTACAGGCCTGAGTGTCAGACAGAGAAGATTAAGCCACAAGAGCACAAGGTGATACATTTCGTAGCATTTCATCTTTATTTTAAGGAGTTAAAAGCCACACTATATCTCAGTACTATTTTTGACTAAAGCACTGTTTACAATGTTTTTCTTGTGTTCGTTTCATGGAAATAACAGGAATTGAAAGGTGAGTGATGAAACTTTGTGAATCTCTTATTTGGGTAGAAGTACTTCTACCTAGGCCAACCACTGACCTTCTAACGGGTTCCTGCAGGTACCTGGGGATCACGCGACCCCTGACCTACCCAGTGAGGCAGAACGGCAAGCTGATGGCCAAGATGGTATTCATCGTGTGGCTCCTGTCAGCCTCCATCACGCTGCCTCCCCTCTTTGGCTGGGCCACTAATGTGACAGAGGAGCGTGTGTGCCTCATCAGCCAGGACTTCGGGTACACTGTCTACTCCACCGCTGTGGCCTTCTACATCCCCATGACCGTCATGCTCATCATGTACTACCGCATCTACAAGGCTGCCAAGGTCAGCGCCGAGAAGCACAAGTTCATGTGTGTCCCGCGGCAGTATGCCCACCAGGGGGTGTACAGTACCGAGCAGGAGCCCCAGGTGCGGCCCCATCGCCGGCTGTCCCGCAGAGATCGCGTGCTGGAGGAGTGCGCCACACTCTCAAAGCTGTTGCGCCACGACGGGCACAACATATCCATCTTCAAGCGGGAGCAGAAGGCCGCCCGCACCTTGGGCATCATCGTGGGGGCCTTCACCTTCTGCTGGCTGCCCTTCTTCCTCCTCTCCACTGCCCGGCCCTTCATCTGTGGCATCACCTGCAGCTGCATTCCCCTGCGACTGGAGCGCACCCTGCTGTGGCTGGGCTATGCCAACTCCCTCATCAACCCGCTCATCTATGCCTTCTTCAACCGAGACCTGAGGACTACCTTCTGGAACCTCCTGCGCTGCCGGTACCGCAACATCAACCGCCGGCTGTCTGCTGCCAGCATGCACGAGGCGCTGAAGGTGAAGGAGAGGCCAGATGCCATCCTGTAGCCATGGGCTAGAGCCAGGGACCAGGCCCCGCGCCCCGCAGCTGGGCACTGCCTTGGCTGGCTTAAAGAGCATTTTTGCAGGGAAGCTTCAAATCATCATCATCTCAGCCTAAAGCTCCAGAGCCAGTATATCAAGGACCCAGTGGCCGATGGGCCCCATGTTTCAGTGGGTGGAAGAGGAAGAAGTGTTGTCTTGGAGTTTGATCCCTGACCACGGAGAGAGGTAGATTGAAATGTCCACTGGAGAATCCACTGATTTGTAGCCATTTGTTAGAAGAAAATCAATAACTGGATACATGTAATGTACATCACACATGTTGTGGCATGGCTTACTGTATCGCATGGCAGCTGGGTAGTCATATTTCTAACATTTGAAAGGAAGTGGAAATGCTATGTGTATGAAAGCAGAAGGTCCTGGACCTTAAATGGTAAATTCCCAGCAGGTCAAAAGAGGCACCGGCATACTGTAGGTAGTTCTCAATTCAAACAGTATTAAATCCTTAAATGTCTTGTCTGACCTGAAAGAGATGAGAAATCTTTTAATTTCATTTGAAGGCTTAGCTGGCCCAGTTGGACTTATAACAACAAATCTGTCATTGTTCTGTTTTTTACTTTGAAAAATAATATATTTAATGTACATTTTACTCACACAACCTACAAATGCATATGGTTTCGAAAGTTCTGCAAACTAAATAAATTTTGTTAATTAAATTTAAGGTCTTAAACTAAATCATCAAGAAACCAAGGAAACAAGCCAGAGAACAAAATCAACACATCTTATGAATTTAAGTTTTCTAGCAAGTAGTCACAGCAACAGCAACACAGTCACAGATTCAATAAGCAGCAGCTGAGCCTGAATTATTGGTTACTGTTTACTTTGTATCTGTCTGTGAATTTATGAACTAGTCAACACAAATGACTCTTTTCAATAAACTCTCACTAGCAGATTTTTTAGCATAACGAAGTTGCAACAGAAATGGACATAAGCAAGCAAAAAACAAATGAATACATTTGTGAATAACAACATGCTGCATCAAACTGCTTTTTAAAATAAGCAGGACCTTGATTTCAGACCAGACATGGCATCTCAGCTGCTCTAGGAGCCTACTGCAAGATATTTTGAACCTGTTAATCTGGATCTGTGCAGAAGGGAATTCATGAGTTTGGGGAAGGGCCATTTTGGTTGAATTGCTAACCTTTTTCAAAAAACACCAGGATGATAATCATAAAAATGGACCTATGCTAGAAATTAGTCATTTTTTTTCCAGAGCACCTCAGACAGAATGGCACAATGCACACATTGTGGGGAGTATGGATAAGATGCTGAATTTGTTTCTGTTTACACCCTTTAAAGTGCTAGTACACTTTCCAACATAACCGGTAGCAAAACATTGCACTGAACTTTGAAATTGCGCACATTAACATCTTTGCTATTTATGACTGCAGGGCAGCTTAGCCTATTTATTAACACTTGTATGTATTCTAGAATTACATAAAAAAAAAACATTATCTGCCTGACATTATCTCTCTGCTTTTAATTGTACCTGCAGATCTCAGAACCTGCAAATAAAGTATTACTATCTAAAGTATGTCATTCAGTCTTGTGTGCCTTGTTCAATGTAACCTTGAATAATATGAGTATGACCTTATCAAGTGAAAGCTGGTGTTTCTCTGTACTACGAATTCAGATGAATTCAATAAGTAAATATAGTTTGCTTAGGGCACCGACACCCCCTATATGTACAGTTTGGTGCAGCTATCTGCTCCATTCTGACCTGAGATGACCTTGGCTTTCTCTGTGATAGTCTGTAAATTCTGGATATTCCACCATGGAGCAACCTTCTGCACCTTGCAGTGTACTGTTTGGCATCTCAACCTACTTGTCCCCTGGTCCATGTTGTTGTGATTCTTTCTGACACATTGATGCACCAACTCCAGGGTGGATCTGCACCTTCAGTATGATTGCAACATTCATAAGGGTGGAGCATCTTTACAGAAGGTATGCATCCAGGGAATATGTTCCTATTTCTATTTTCTCTAACTGCTGCTGTAGTAACTCCACTACTGTAAGAACACCTACTGAAGGATCATGCTACCAGCCCCATTTCGGTGTGGGATGCTGCTGCTCTGCCCACTGTGCACAGATCACAGGATCTCTCTGTTATTCTGATGCATCTGCAAGGCCTACTACTATTGTCCAAGCCCTCCCAACCTTCCATGTAGAAAGTTAACATGTTTAGGGGGTTACTACACAATGTGACACAAATCATTAAATTATTAATATGTCACCCATTCTATTTGTTATTATTAATTTCTTGTGTAGTTTGTATTCTTAAGTAGACACTGTCATGAGAATGCTCCCTGATGAGAGCTCTGCAGCTACTGTAGGACATTACTGTACAAAACATTTCAATTTCACCTCCCAGGACAGATCTCCCTTTCTCTACACAGCATGTAATCTAGTTTCTCTTGGTTACTAATGTTCTGTTCTCTTCAGAGTAATTGAATAATTAGCTTTTCTATTATCAGGAAATGGCTAGTTAGAAGTACAAATGTACATTAATGGGAGGGGCACAATGGATGATTAAAAATAACGTTTTAGACATTGTGGTTATTGTGTTTTAATGTATCTGAGTTGCAAAGCATTTTTCTTCTCTAATACACAATGTAAACCTTATTTTTTACTCTGTTTCACAAAGTGTGATTTTTAAGAATTATATTTATGGTCAAAATCCATTAAATTTTAAAAAGTGTTATTGAATTATTTAATAAAGTGCACAAACTGTTTAATGTCTATCAGAATATATTTTATTGATGAAAACATACTTTGAGAGAACACAAACTGTTTAAAATGCTTTCAGGATGAAGTGCCAGGACTAGATCAATCTGGAAGGATTGTGTTACAGTACATATGTAAAATATGTAATATGTAAAACATTTGCAATTACCTATGAAGACAGCAGGGCAAAGTGATACAGTTATAATCATTATTTTACTATGAAAATAAGTTGTTTAGGAATTAATCTATTTTAAAACCCAAAACAGTTCAACGTGATGTTTCATTTTGTTAGAATACATTTAGAACGGTTAAATTAAATACTTCATTAATATTAGACAGTTTTTAAAATATAAATATAAATACTTGCTTTTGAATTTTCAGTCACTGTGTAGTGATTTTATATGCAAGAGAATTCAAATCTTGTAGTCCAAATCTCAGAATCACTGTGTATGTAAAATATAATGTGTAGAATGAACAGATTAGAACTGCTTATACTATATAAATAAATAAATAGTGCTTAAAAAACAACCAGCTCCTACACCCCCCAAGAATGCTAATTAAGATCCCACCTTTTCTAAGTAGGCTTCCACGTTTCCAAAGGCAATGAGGAAGTTCACTAAAAAAGTAAAAATCAGATAAATCAGATTTCATTGATTGAGTGTGGGCTATATAATATAATTTCAGTCAAAGTAACTGGGTATGTTATATGGGGCACCTACATAGAAATGTAGAGCTGCTCTTGACATGATCAAGAGAATATTAAATTGAATTTTTTAAACATTTTTTAGTTTAGGCTTTCAAGACCAAAATAAAATAACAAAACTGCTATAGATGCCAGCTTTCTTTCCAGGTTCCCAGTCAAAGGAAATCAGGCATAAGGAAGGCTGGGATGAGAAACAAAGGTTACAAACAAGAGAAAAACCCCACTCTTTGATGTCTGTGCAATAAGGATTGGCTTCTTTTGAAATTGCAGGTGGAAGCGTGGCACCACATTTATCTTGTGCCCATTAGTAATGTGCAGTGGGGGTGAGTATTAGCAGTCATTTGTGAGGCATTTATGCTGCCTTTAGTCATTCTAACCGAGCAGTCTAACTCAGTGTCTTGTGGATTTTGTTCCAAACATGCTGTCATTTACATACAGCAGTCTGTCCAATTATTTTATTAAGAGCATAACTCTAATACTTCTAATCAAGCTCCAAGGTGTTTTATAGAGTAGGTAGGGGCAGTGCAGTGGCTCTGTGGCTAAGGATGTGCACCTGTAGCTGGAAGGTTGCTGGTTTGTATCCCACGGCTGGCAGGGGAATCCTACTCCGTTGGGACCCTGCTCAAGGCCCTTAACCCCAACTGCTCTAGGGGTGCTGTATAAATGGCTGACCCTGCGCTCTGACCCCAAGCTTCTCTCCCTGTCTGTGTGTCTCATGGAGAGCAAGCTGGGGTATGTGAAAATACATATTCCTAGTACAAGAAATTGTATATGGCCAATAAAGTGATCTTATCTTATATAGCATACCTTTAATGAAGTTAATGCCTTGGTAATGAACTGTAAAAGACTTTACAATTAAAATTATATGTACAGTATGTCTAATATAGACAACTATTTGGTGACTACTCAGGTTGAAACAAAATCAAAATAAAACAAGTTTTAGACCCCTGTTATAACTTAATGCTGTAGTACTAATATGAACCCTTGAAGGCAGACTACCCAAAACTAGCATTGTCAGGCTATGAGAGTGATTCAAGAAGTATCATTTAATCCTAAAATGTTAAATAATCTAGAGATGGAAGCATCTGTGTGAAGCCCTTACTGTCTTCATCTTTCATAGTGTGCATCAGGAGTGTTCAGTTCTGGTCCTGGTCCAGTCTGTCTACAGGTTTTCAATCCAGCTCAGCTCCTATTAACCTAAATCAGCTATTAGTTAGATATTGGTTTGCTTTAACCTAGCTAACAGCTTCAGGTGCTACAGTAGTGCTTTAAATTGATGTAGAAAACCTCTCCAGGGGCATGATTGGACACCCCTGGTGTACGCACTATAGTCCAGTGTGTCTCATCCGTCATACTGCTTGATACAGTGGCTTAGACTTAGAGGGCTGCAAGGAGCCACAGAGAGCTTCGGAGTTAAGATACTGTTCCACGCTCTGGAAACAAAACAAGCAGCAAGGATGCTTTATAATGTTAGGTGGAGATCAGACAGCCCTCTGGAAAGTGGGAACAGACCAATATTAAAATATCACAATATTACAGGCAAAGGAACGCGCAGCAGAAATCTAAAGAAATCCCACAGTCTCTGATGATAGGACATCTCATTAGAAATAAATTGTGAAACACAAAACATAATGGGAAAAGAGTTACAAAATGCCTCAGTTTTGAATACAATTTTCTCATTTTGTAAACAGAGGTTTGCTTCACAGGGAGTGAATTTTAAGACTCTAGAACAGGGCTGCTCCCCTGGTCCCAAACTAGCAGGTTTTATAGATCTTATATAGATTTATAAATAGTTTAGAGACTACCATAATGGAAAAAAAGTGACTTTCCCTCTTGGACTGTCATGGGAAGGTTCTCCCCTTGCGGGGGTCTGCTCATCCCTCCAGGGAGGAGCTCAGTGTGTCTTAAAGGGCCCCCAGCTTGAACTTGAACTTGAACTTGAACTTTATTGCCATATGTAACCAGTACTGGTACAATGGAATTCTTACTTACAGAAAGTCTCTCGATTGTAAAACAAGTGTAAAAAACAAAACAAAGCACAAAAAACAAACAACAAACAAACAATAGACAATGTGCAAGTAAACATGCAGACAGTTTGAATGTAAACAATACAGACGTGTAAACAATGACTGGAGACGTACAATAAATAAATTACAATGAGGTAGATGGTGATGGTGTAGGTGTGGTCCGAGGGGGATGGCTAAATGTGTTCGCCAGTCTCACTGCTTTTGGATAGAAGCTATCCAAAAGCACCAGCTAGAATCTGGTGGTAAGTGTCCGTATGCTCTTATATCTCTTGCCTGAGGGCAGTGGGGTGAAGAGCTCATGCCCTGGGTGGTGACTGTCCTCTGTGATGGCCAGAATTCTACCACGGCAGCGGTCCTCATAGAGCTGTTTAATCTCAGTGAGACCGCAGCCGATGATCTTCTGGGCCATATTGACCATTCTCTGCAGTGCCTTTCTTTCTCGCGAAGAGGTGTTGCCATACCACACGGTGATCCCGTTGGTGAGGACGCTCTCGATAGTGCAGCGGTAGAAGTTCACCAACACATGTATTGGCATCCCCCATCGCTTGAGGCACCTCAAGAAATAAAGGCGCTGCTGAGCCTTCTTCATGATAGAGTCAGTGTTCACAGTCCAGGTTAGATCTTTAGAGATGAATTCCCAAAAACCTAAAGCTGGTGACTGTTTCCACTTCCGTTCCATCAATACTTAGTGGGCTGTGAGTGTATGGCCTGTGTCTCCGAAAGTCCACTATTAGCTCTTTCGTTTTCTTTATGTTCAAGTCCAGGTTATTGCTATGACACCACCTAAGCAGCTGTACAACTTCATCCCTGTAAGTGGACTCGTCATCATCACTGATCAGTCCAATTATAGTGGTGTCATCGGCAAACTTGATGATGCGGTTGTTGCTGTGTCTTGCTGTGCAGTCGTGAGTAAATAGGGAGTACAACCTTGTACTCAGACAGCAGCCTTGTGGGGTTCCAGTGCTCAGGGTGGGTGGTGTTGATGTTTTATTGCCTATCCGCACCACCTAATCCCCTGAGCTTTGTCACCAGTTGACTGGGTATGATGGAATTGAATGCTGAACTGTAGTCCACAAACAGCATTCTCACATACGAGTTCTTAGTGTCCAGGTGTTCCAAGGCTGTATGCAGAGCCAGGGAGACAGCATCACCCACTGATCTGTTGTTCTGGTAGGCGAACTGCAGGGGGTACAGGGACTCTGTGATGGAGGAGTTGATGTGTGACAACACCAGCTTCTCCAGGCATTTCATCACCACAGATGTTAATGCTACTGGGCGGTAATCATTCAGGCATGTCACTTTTGTCTTTTTGGGGGTTGGAACAATAGTGTTTTTTTTAAAGCAGGTGGGGACCTGCTTTAAACCTGCGGTTCATCCTTAATTTGCCAGGACAGCTGTGGTTGCAAAGGCAATGTATCACACTTAATCCTGGGCTCTGACACCACACTGAACACACTGCAGCTTAATGCCACACCTCTGTCATGAAAACTTTCGTGTACTGTAGCTACCTTTGCTAAGGGGTTTGATTTCTTTTCCGCTAAGTCTTTAACCTTATATATACACAGTATATTTTTTTCTTTATTCCAATGTGTTTTACATCTGTGAAATATATTTTGTTATGTATCAAATTGCTTAAGTAGTCATTCTGATACTGGTTAATAATTCAATGTCCACCATGAAAGTTTTATGAAATCTTAGAAAAATAGTAATCAGAGAAAAGGCAGTAAACAACAAGCACTCAAGGAAGAGATGAATAATAGATGTCACACAGTTTCCCTGTATTGGCAGATTGTGTGGTACTAGCAGTGTCAAGCACACTGTAGATCACTTGCCTGTATGTTTGAAGAGTTAGCTTTTTAAAGTAAAATGTCTTTATCAAGACACTGTGTTTTCTTTGTGACTCCAGCTATATGGAGAATGTAGCTCTCTTTGGGGTTTTGGGGGGGGTACAGCATGGCTGTGTGGCTTCTGTGTGAGGCCAGTCTGCTGCTCAAGCTTCACAGATTTGATTTACTGTATTGATATTGATTGATTGATTTTCTTAATAGAGTGAACATTGTGAAAATCCCTCTTTCTCAGGAGGTTCTTTCATTTCCAGATCACAGCAAATGGATG